ATTTTACGGCCACAAGTGGGCCCAAAATTTCTATCGCTAAGCGAGGCATCGGTTAAGTGGGCTTGGCTCCCGTTTTACGACCTTTCCTGCCACGGTTACGAAGTGAATCGCCGCCGTTGTTAAATTAGTAACCCGGTTGTTAAGTGAATCCGGCATCCCCTCGTTGACTTTGCTTGTCAGAAGGTCGCAAAAGGGGATCGCGTGACTCCCCCCCCAGGACACTGCGACCGTCATAAATATGAACCAGTTGCCGGGCGTCTGGATTTTGCTTGTGTGAACACAGGGATGGTAAGTGTGAAAACGGGCCTAAGTCACTTGTTCAGTGCCACTGTAACGGTCATTAAAAGAACGGTTGTAAGTTGAGAACTACCCGCGCGTACAATTTTTTTTTTTTAAAAAAGGGAAAAATCACATAAAGTACTTTATGTAACAACGGTAAGGAATTCTCCTCCGCACAAAGACTCATCTTTGTCAGTTTCTCAGCTCCGGTTGGCCTTCATTTTAACTGGGGATTATTGATGTGGTGTCACTGAAAACTGGCAGCTCCGCACTGATTAGAATTGCAAGTGTGTCTTTTTGTCGCTTGGCAGATTCTTCTCCTGCAAAAGAATGTTTGAAAAAACCTTGAATCAGAAGTTAATGTGTCTGACGCAGGGGATGGTGTTGAATTGCAAACTTGAAAACTCGGGTGTAGCGGGAAAGCCGAGGGACTCTACGTTTTCAGCAAATCAAAGTAATTGCCTCAAATCAAGTTAATCCTGGGGTGATAACCAATTTGCAGTGAATGGCGAAGGAAGTAATATTAAATGTGCATTGCTTGCTTGCTTGCTCTTTTTCTTGTCCCGCAAATCTGTTTGATAGGCTTTGGGGGAAAAGCGTCACTCCTTGGTGGTGCAATTTTATACAAAATTAACTTAAAATTTAATTTTCCTCTAAAAGTCTTTAAAAGGGCTTTACTTATTCTAAATAATAAATAGCTGCTTCGTCACTGCTCTGTTGAAAGGGAATTAGGGTTGTCTAGTTTCAGCTTTTAGATTGCCTCAAAACAAACTTTTAAGATGGATATTTTGTCTTCGTCAGAATAGAATTTATTCTTGAACTTGTGAACTTTTGAAAATGGAAGCAAAGGCACTCTTGCTCATTAATTAATTAATCAATCAATCAGAGAGTTGCTAGAGCAGACAGTATGCAATTTTTCCTTAGATCTCATAATTTACTACATTTAATGAAGGAATATTATTATTATTATTATTATTATTATTTATTATTTATTGAATTTATATACCGCCCTATCTCCCTTACGGGACTCAGAGCGGTAAACAGGCGATAATAAAAACCACGATAAATATACACAAATTTCTGTTCTAAAATCAAATTAACCAGTGGTTCTTCTTTGAACCACTGTCTCTCCTTCCTTATGACAAACATAAACAAACATCTTTATTTATTTTTCTTTGACCCTCTTACGAAATAATTCAGTCATGATATCACAGGGGGTATCGGGGCATCTAGAGCAGTGGTTCTCAACCTTTTTAATGCCGCGACCCCAACCGGTCGTAAGTCGAGGACTAAACCGGTCGTAAATTGAGGACTTTCCCTGCCCGGGAGCGCCGCGCATGCGTGGTTCCGCCCCCTGCGCCGGCCGAGGCGTAGCTGGCAAGCGGCAGAGACGGAGCAGGCCGACCACCAGCTGGCCCAGCCCAAGGGAGGTAAGGCACCCGCTGGAAAAGGGGAAAAAATGGCGGACAAAAAAAATGGCGGACAAAAAAAAATGGCGGACAGCCTTGCTTGGCGACACCCATGAAATGGTCGATCGACCCCAAATGGGGTCCCAACCCACAGGTTGAGAACCACTGATCTAGAGAGTTTTAAAAAAAAGTCAAGATGGTATAAAAAGCTCGGCTGCCATCTTGATTTTTTTTTTTTAACCATATCCCATGGATACTGATCAGCTCCATCCATGAGTGTGCCATCGATTTTGTTCCTGGCACTTTTCCGTAGGAAAGATTAACACGGAAATGAAATTGACAGCCTTCGATGTTTTCTAATGGAGCATCTGTGGAATATGATCACCGCTTTCTTTGAACTAGTTCACATTTTTTAAAAAGAAAAGAAAAGAAAATTGGGCTTTGGTTTTCCCAGTTGCAATGTATGGCTGTGAAAGTTGGACGATAAGAAAGGCTGAGCGCCAAAGAATGGAGGCCTTTGAACTGTGGTGCTAGAGAAGACTCCTGCGAGTCCCCTGGACTGCAAGGCGATCCAACCGGTCAGTCCTAGAGGAGATCAACCCCGACTGCTCTTTAGAAGGCCAGATCCTGAAGTTGAAACTCAAGTACTTTGGCCACCTAATGAGAAGGAAGGACTCCCTGGAGAAGAGCCTGATGCTGGGAAAGATGGAGGGCAAGAGAAGAAGGGGACGA